TTTTAATTGTACCCACCCAATTCTTATATATGAAGTCAATCACTTCAATCCTTCCGTGAGAAGTTTGGGGAGTTTACAGTAAACATATCTAGACTTACATGCATCTAAAGCCAGGTTTAGATTCTTTCTAGGGAAAGTGTGTTTTAACATTTTTTATGAATAAGACAAAAATTTATAATAGGTTTATGAAAATCCTATAGCATTAATATAGGTTATTTCTAAGGTTGGTTATTAGACAGATTTAGTTTGAAAGGTAGTATTAGGAGAATAATTGTTAGAGATTACAAAAAGCAGAATAAAATGAGGAGGAGGGGAACTCAGTGGGCTGGAGAGGATGAATGAATTCATCATCAGGCTGACAGGAGTTAACAACTTGGAGTGACCCCTGCAGAAAAAAAAGCACGCTTTTCTGAGATATAATCTATATTGCAAGGCTGTTGGAACAAGTGGTAAGAACAGTGAAATGGGAGAGGATGATATAGAAAGCAGCACTGCAAGATTATGCAAAATTATCCAATTGGCAGATAAAACTATATAGAGAAGATTTTAGGTGAGAAAAATAGTATAACGAATTGTGTATGTGATAAGATGAACATGAGATAGGAATACGTATTAATAATTGATTAAGTAAGTAATAATGTGATCTCTGACTGAGATCAATATGTGTCAAGCAAGATGACTGCTCAAGGCTCTTGTTTCACAACCAGTCTCAGCCAGGCCACTTGATCTGTTATTACCAACAGCTGCACTCTTTTAATTGCTGCTCTTACAAGCATCCTATTCTCTGACCAGCATCCACTCTCCTCTGCTCACCCCCTCCATTCCATGAGTCCTTTAATTTCATGGAAATCTACAAATCATTGATCCTACTCCCTTTTCACTCTCCTTTCAGTATTGCGATTGTTATTCTCTCTTTTAGTCATTACCATTTTCTTTCACACCACTTCAATTTTCTCATCCCTCTTTCATTTTGACTGACGACATGTTGGCAAAACCCTAATCCTGGTGTAAATCTAACTCTCAGCCTATCGCATGCCTGAACGCATGCCTGAACGCATTCAGCTTAATATGACAGTAAAAACAAACAAACAAACAAACAAACAAACAAAAAATAAAAATATCAAAACCCCCAAAATAAAACCAGACACACACAAAAAAACAGTTATGCAAACTGATCTCAATTTAAAATCCAAACTTTTAACTGCAAATGCACCTTAATGTTGACCAGAAATTTAGAAAAAAATCCTATTCCTTTTATTATACTTTCATCAAATCTTCAATGTGCCTTCTCCATCCTTACTCTCACTGATGACCATGTATCCTATTTCATGTGAAAAGGAAAGAAATCAGAAGATGAGTTCTACAAGTCCTGCTCACCAAATCACACACGCATTAGCATCTGCAGCCACACTGTCTGATATCCCATTTTTTTAGTACAGTATAGTATATGTATTATTGCACTTCTAAGGTCAATTCCTCCTCTTGTGCATGGTAGTTTTACTCTTTTTTGCCTGCTTAAAGAAATCTTTCAGCAATTCTTCTCTCTTCTGCGTCTTTACTAGAGATTGTTTACTCTCTTCTGGATCATTCTCACTAGCACACAAACATGCTGTTCTTTCCTACATCTAAAAGTAAAACAAAACAAAGCTTTCTTGGCACATGTCCTCTTTCAGCTACTCCCTCATTTTTCTGCTTCCCTTTATAGCAAAACTCTTCAAAAGCTTTGTCTGTACATACTACATCCAATCCCATTTCTCCTGTTCTGTCTCTCTGCCTCTCTCTGTGCCCCTCTTCCTGTTCCTACTCTCTCTCTCTCTTTAATAGATTTATTGACATGCAGTTTATATTCCTTAAAATTTATCCACTTTGAATGTGCAATTCAATGAGTTTTAGTAAATTTGTATAGTTGTGCCTCCATCAAAACCCAGTTTTAGAATACTTCCATCATTTAAAAGTTATTCAAACCCTCTCCCATCCATGTCCCTAGGCAATTACTAATCTGCTTTCTGTCTCTATAGTTTTGCCTTTTCTAGGAATTTCATTTTAATGAAATCATACAATGTGTAGTCTGTGTGTGTGCATATGTGTGTGTGTGTGTGTGTGTCTGGCTTCTTTTACTTAGCGTATTTTTTCTGAGATTTATTCATATTGTGGCATGTATCAATAGTTTTTTACTTTATATTGAGGAACAAGGGTACAATCTTATTCAGCAGGGCTCCACTCTCATGACCTAGTCACTTGGCAAATGCCCTACCTCCTAATGTAATCATCTTAGGGATTAGAATTTCAACATATAAATTTGGGGAGGACACAAACATTCAGACCATGGCTGGTGGTATTTGGATATGGGGCATTGGGGAAGTGATTAGTTTTTGATGAGGTCTAGAGGGTGGGGCCCTCTTGATAAGATTAGTGCTTTTGAAAGAAAAGACACCAGAAAGCTCTCTCTCTCTCTCTCCTGCACATGAGAACACAGCCAGAAGAGAACCACTTTCAAGCCAGAAAGAGAACTCCTATCAGAAACCCACGATGCTGTCACCCCGGTCTCAGACTTCTAGCCTCCAGAACTGTGAGATAATAAATTTCTGTTGTCTAAGCCACCTAATCTATTTTGAAATGGCAGCCTGAGCAGACTAACACACTAGTGCAGCCTCTTATTGGAGAACCCTCATCATTAGGCTCCGCATGATCTCTCCGACCTCATCTATTAGTCTCCTTGCTTCTATCTTGTCTGCAGTCATACCCATCTCCCCAAAATCCCTCAAGTAACTAGGCTTGCTCCTGCTTCAAGGCCTTTGCTGTTGCCATTCCCTATGCCTGGATCACTCTCATCTCAGGTATATGAATGGCTCACTCTCTCACATCCATGTCTTTTTCCAATCTCACCTTCTCAGTAGAACCTTTCCTGACATTCCTCTTTTGAGTCACACCTCACAATTCCTTTCCTTTTCCCAATTTCATTCTTCTCCATTACACTCATCACTTTCCATATACTGTGTAAATTTACTTACTTAATTGCTCATTGTCCACCTCCTTCGATTAGAATGTACATTCCATTAGAACAGACATTTTGTGGGTTTTGTTCACTATTGTACCACAGCGCCTAGGACAGTGCCTGGCACAGAGCAGGCACTCAAAAATATTTACTCAATGAATCTATGCAGAATATACAGAAATAAATAAAATGACCTAAGGTTTTAGCCAATAAATAACTATTACAAACTTTGAGAAAGAAATCATAAATAAGAATAGGGAAAAGTAGCTCAGCTATATAGTAAGAATATCTTATCATTTACCTTTTTTCATAATTATGTTGTGAATAAATGTAACTGTGGAACACATAAATGAAATATAATTCACACCATCAATATAGAAGAATAAAATGTGACATTTTATATTTTTGCCAAAGGAATCACTGAAACTTGAAGGATTGGAATTTATTAGCTGAGATCACAATCATATTGAGAAATGGTGATTTAATTCTAGTGCTTGGCTTTTT